ATCCTCACCTCCTCACTCCCCCCCCTCTCTCTCTCACCCCCTAACCTCCCTCCCCACCCCCCGGTAGACTCCCAAGCGTCTCTTGCGCAAACTTGCGAATAGAATATATTTATCAAGTTTAAAACTTTATGTTAAATGGAAAACATGCTACACTCGGGAGGAAATACATTGGTATCTCACTGCGCTGAGTTTCAATGAGTAGTTCCAGGGGTGAGGTGAGAGGAGGTTTGGGGAATTGGTAGTGTAGATAGGTTGTACATCGATTTCTTTGAGGAGGGTTGGGCGTTAAAACAGCTTTTCTCACGCTTCCCTAAGTTTTCAATTACCGCTCGGGCCAATTCGATTTGGAATTTCTCTCAATTCGCTCACTCCCACTTTAATTGAGAATCTAATGCTTCGGATTGTATCGGAGGCGGGTAGATTTTATTAGGAAAACATAACGGGATTTTTTTTTTAATGGGAAAATTCGACCAATTTTTCGCTACTTTAGGTTTCATTATTCAACTCTTTTTTTCTTTATTTCAATTGCTGATTCTGTTATTGTGATATTCTGTTATGCGAAGGATGAGGTTCTGGTACGCAAAAGTATTCTTTAATTGTTATTAAAAAAATGCGCGTGCACTGTTGAAAAAAATTGGAATTTCATGAATAATTGGCTAGTTAATTTCACTTTGAAATCATAAAATTTCTAAGTTTATAGAAAATCCTGTGAAATTCCAGATTTTTGAGCGAAAGGACGACTAGAATTCCCCAACGTATTTGAGTTTTCAATTTAAAGATGAATATTCAATGCCACATTTCACTGAATTTTCCTAGTTTCTAATAAATTCAATGGAATAACTGCACTGAAATTTACAATTTCCATGAATTTCCCCCTAAAATGTCGAATTTTGAATGCCGAATAGTCATTAGTACGTCACGATCTAATGTTTCCAGAATCTTCCACAGCTCCATCCTCACTACCCACTTTTTTCCCTGATTTTTCATTACTGCCTGTTGAATATTTTTTTGAAATGAGCCCACACTTGACTCTGATCTTTCCACCCCACTGTTAATAAAAACTCCCGGGTTATTTGTGGAGACCGGGATACAGAAAGATATTAATAACAGAGAAGAGGTGCTCCTATAGTTGAATAAATTTAATATCCTGCCATTTCCTCGTTCATATAGAGAGTATTACACTCACCTCTACTAGCAATAAGCCTCCATAGAAATTATAAGTGCAGATGTATTTAATAATTCATAACTCTCTCTCTTGCAATTTAAATAAACACACGTCATCAATAAATCATGAATAATATCAACGATAAGGAATTAATGATAGGTTTACTAAAAAAAAAAAAAAAAAAAAAAATTATGAAGGGGAACGTGATTTATTGCTGTGAAATGATTATAGACCGGATGAATGCGAGAATGATCTCTTCTTCAATTGTTCGGGGGGGGACATGAAATTCATAGATCAATTCGTATAAATCACAAACTTGACTCTCGGCTGAGTTCATGTGCAAGGCCGGATTGTAATGACCACCAATTATCCTCTAATGACACTCGATGATGCATGTGGAGTCTGTGATTATACCCTGTCACGTGCAACCATATGTGATCGTGTATCTTACCGGGTTACTATCAATCTCCCCGGTGTCACCAACTTTTCCACTATTTTTTATTCCCAAGATTCATCACAAACACTCGTCTTTCACACGATAAACCCCGAGAGAAAGGGGCGGAGAAGTTCGGAAAGTTTGAACCGACGAGTGTCAAAGATCGTTAGTGATGCCACTGGCAATTAGAGCTTTAATCGAGTTTTTTTTTTTTTTTCATTAAAAAAAAGTGGAGTTCCTCTCGTGGAGATCTCTAGGGCACTCGGAATTCAAGTATTCAGAAGTTTTAATTAAAACCGAGGTTTTTCGCGGTTTGGGGAATTGTTGAAAACATTCAATCGTGTGTCGTTAAAAGTTTCGGGGGAAAATGTAATTTTTGATGAAATTGGGAATTGAGTTTTTGAATTATTCGGACGATGTGAGGGATTTTTTTCGCTGGGAGCTGAGGGTTTTATTGGAAGCCGATGGTTGTCGATGGATTGAAAAAAAAATCATTAATAGAAATGGAATGGAAAGCTGGTTTAGTTGACCTCGGGGCCACTTCGTAATAATTCATAACGATTTCACAATCGGTTTTTAGAAATAGTTTTTTTTAAAGGAAATTTGGAATTAAGTTTGGGATTATTTTATGAACTTTCGTGTCTTCTTTGAAGGGAATTTAGTAGGAAATGAAGAACGATCTTTCGATTTTTTTCCTCTAAACTTGATGATTTTGGAGTTATTTGCAGGATGAAGTGTGGAAATACTCGGAAATAACATATTTCCTGCTTTTGACAAAAAAATGTTTTATCATTTTCTGGTTTATTTGAGCATTCTGTTATTATTACGGGCTTACTATTCCTTGTTTGCAATGACAGATTGCAGAAAGAAAATTGAAGATGAAATGAAGATGATTGTGTTATTGAAACGAGAAGATTGTCGTTTTTTAAATTAATTCCAAACTCTAAATACTTCGCATTAAATTTAACAAGGCAATTTTTCTCCTTAACCCCATCAACCTTATCTTCCATTAAACCACAGTTTTTTAAAACTGCATTTCCAAATTAATGAATTAACGATCATTTCCTGTTGACACTTATTCGTCAGGAAGTTTCCCCTCCAAAGCCTTCCTAGGCATTCCCTACACTCAAAAATATGCGATTAACAGCGTTAAACGGATATTTTCCCCTCTAAATATTTCCAATCGGATTCGAGCTGCGACGATTAGGGCACCCCTTCCCGATGTTTGCCGCCTCGGCTGGTTGCCCACTCACCAGTATCCACAGTTGCCAGGAAAATACGTTGAAACAAAACCGCAGGTAGTTTGTTGGTGCTTGATACGCCAGAGCAAATTCTCGCTTGTATATCCAGCAGTACCCCGAGCATATAGATAACATTTCTGAAACGGAGCGCGCGGTAACTACCCAGCACAACGAGAGACAAGCGTCGGACCGACCCATGCAAATAAACTGACCCCCAGCCGATTGTTTTACGACCTTTTTCTTCCCGCAATATTAATCAGGGCATTTTGTGTATCCTTTGTGCTATTGTACTCGCTTAAAAATTATATTTATTAACATCGTCCCTTCTCCATTAATTTGGAATTCATCTCAGATTGAAACGAGACATTCTCTTTAATTTCGCTCATTAATTCATAATTAACCCGATTTAGACGAATAAATTTTTATGGTTAAGAGCTCTTGAGATAGCAAAAAGTTAATTTTGTTTTTATGTAAAGTGGTGCCCCTTATTTGTCAAATTTATAAAGAATGGATAAAAAATATATATAAGCCATATATTTTATATATTTTTTTATATATTTTCAAAAATATAAATTTTTTGGGATGTTTATCGAGAAAAAAAATGGTCTATGTATAACTGAAACTGGATTAGTCTTCCTCCCCTATGACAAATTAAAAAACCTCATCCACTCGGCTGTTATCTCCCCTCGTCGGCCCCTAAATTTCCCACTTAAATCTCGAAAACTCACAAAATAACATCTCTCGCATCTGTTGCGCTCCGGACCCCCCACATCGCGAGATAAAAAAAAAACCCACGAAAATATGCCCCCAAACGAGACATCAATATTTCAGTATTCCACCCACTGATTCCCAATCCAACAATATTCTCGCTCCAAACCACGACTCGACCTCGATTCCCCTCGTGAACCCTGGGAAAAGCCTCGACACGTGTGGAAACGAGAGCTGAAATATTCGCTTTGACAAAGAAAACATTCTAAACAATGTGAAAAAAACAAAGAGAATGCTTTACCTTTTCAAGGCACTCCCGTCCGATGGCCCTGGGGTCCACCTGCACCTCGAGAATAACAGAGTTTGCCTGGCTGACGAGACACCACATCGTGAAGGGCCCCCAGAGATGTCGAGTCAAAAAAATTAAATTTAGTCCACCGGAAAAACTTCACTCAACACGAATCACTCGAAATTTCCGCATTCAAAGGATTTTTTTTTTTTTAATGTGAGACAATGGCGCTGAGACCCCTGGAGGAGTCCCAAAAACTTCGAAAAAATTTCCCCTCGACTCGATCGTTCACCCGAATGAATTTTTCAATGAGCAGAAAAAAAATTATTAAAATCCCCGATAATTCATAACTGTCAGGACACTCTCCCCTTTGATATCACCGTATTGATAAAACGTCTGGCGGGATAACAACTCGATAATACGAATTTTTTCAGGTTCCATTTCTCTCCGATCGGCCCGATGATAAATATTAACTGAAAAATCGAGTTATTCAGTCTATTTCGGGGGTTTAAAGTGTTTAAATTCACGGGGGATGTGACGAAACGACGTCTACTGTGTTGTTGCTCTTTATCGAATGGCTGACTTGGAGCTGAGACTCCGACAGTTCTGGTGATAGACGAGGGAATTGAGGGGAGTATCAGCACGACACAGCTGATCCTGTTCCCCCACTTTTTTGTGGATTTTCTGCGCTCTTTCCCCTCGCGCGCATCTCCCACTCTTGGGGAATGGCTTTCGGTGATTGGGGGGCTTGGCGGAGGTGACGGAAAGATGAGCGGGGATTGGCGGGGGCCTGGGGGGTGGGGCAGATCCAGAGGAAATGGGAGTGCGCCCTCTGGGAATTCGATTTATCGGAATTTCTAGTGGATTTGAATTAATTGTTGAGAACGGGACTCTGTTGAGACTGGGGGGTAATTAATTGGGGTTCTGGGGGATTGATAGGGCGGAGGGGAGGGGGATTGTGCATAATGAGGGGAGGTGGAAGACGGGGAACATCGGGGGATTTTTGGGGAATTTATGCTTCTGAATTGAAGAAATAAGTAGAAATAGAGAGGGGTGGAATTTTTTCGTATTAATTTATGAGCATCAGATTAGTTTGGAAATTATTATGGGGGAAATTGAGAAGGTTTGAGTGTTTTGGGTATTTTTTTCCGTCATTTCCTAGATTTCTATAAATTATAATTTTTTTTCGAAATTTATTCCTCTCCAAACCTTTTCGAGACAGTTAAAAAATATGAAATAAAATAAAATGATAAGGTGAAACCACTTCCATCATTTGTTTATATGAAGTCAGTCAGGATTGGAAATTAATTAATCAGGGTTGAGTCGAGGATCCGAAGGGATTGAAAGAGAGAAAAAAGGGAAATCCCTCATAATGAGAGCTTTAAGCGGCTTAGACTAATTAACCCGGATAAATAGTTATTTGTGTTTTTAAATCATTTATTTCGATGCTAATACTGTACAGACAGTCGGCTCATACAGATGTACACACGATTCAGAGAAATCTCCACATTGTTTTTTTTTAACAATACTCCATTAACATTAAGGCGAAAAGAGCTGGGTTAAAGGTATATCGTCCCGAGATCCTCGATTAGTGGGAGCTGACGAGAATCCAGGGAGGCTGTACCGTAAACAATCGATTAATTGATTTACAATTGTCCTCGTAGTAACAGAACAACATGGAATGAAGCCTAATGTAACAACATTCATCTAGATACATGATCCTATAGCCACCACCTTAATTAAAACGTTAAATGAATATTTAAAATTATTTGGAAGAAGATATGAAGCTTTTTATTTCTCCGCATTTGAACATTAAAAATAATTTTTTAATTAAAAAACATTGCACTACTGAAAACTGCGCAAGTCTAAAAGAAATTTGTCAATTTCACTTGAATTTACTTGAATTAAATGTCTTTGGATTTATTTTCTCGTTTGAATTTTCCTGAAGCTGCATAAAATTAATGAAAAACATTATTCATATCTTCTTCAACGATTGAAAATCGCCTTCAAACGTGTCTAGGCCTTGACACGTGGAAACGATTGTTTTTCGTTTTGAAAGTTACATTTATAATATAATCCTTTTAATTACTTAATTAACTAACAGTAATACTCAAACTGTCAACTCATTGTTTCACACCAAAACATTTTCTAAGCGACTGAAACTGATGATTTTTTTCTTTATTGTCTTTAAAGACTTGGATGAAGCCACTGTGTGCTATGGGATAATATAGTTGTATTTTTGTATTGTATTGCATGTTTCGTTCACTAGAGTTTGAGTGTTACTGGCTAGACTACTAAGTGTACAATTCAATAACATTTCATGGTATTTACTTTGCAAATACAATAGATCAACGACGATATATATCCTCTGGGGGAGATATGAGATAAGAGGCGTATTATTCAATTTACATGTAATATTATGATAATTTTTATATATTTTTTTAGGTTTATTTATATTATTAGATTGGTTTGTGAGGCTTTTCGTGGCTTAGGCTTCGATCTGGTAATTTCTGTGCAATTCTGGCTTGATGTTGTACACCAACTGCAGAATCTCTTCTATGACCTGGTCAATAATTTAATTTTTTCATTTTTAGTTTATGAGAGGAAAAAAATCACATGTGAGGTTGCTAAATTAGATGAGTTTGTTGCACTTTATAATTAGGTTTCGGAGAATACTTTTCAATTAATAGACGAAATTGACATATTAGAGAAATCAACAACTCCCTGAGTTTCGCTGTCTTCATTAGATTTAACGGTGTTTTGTGGAAAAATGAAGTGAAAGGCTTTTTTTATAATTTTTCGGGGTTTACTCACCTTATCCTTGTGACCGGCGACACCTTTGTTCATTTCTTCAATCTTGATTTTAGTGTCTGCATCAATGCGTGCTGCCACATCCTCTTTGGAGCCCATATGCTGTTTTAAAATGATTATATGAATTAAATTGTGAAAATTTAGAGGGAGTGAGAGAAAATTTGATGAGTGAAACGAAATTGTTAATAGATATTTATAAACTTCGCTAAAAAAATCTTCAAAGAACCATTTGAAGTTGAAATGAAATTGTTTCGTTCACTCCTGAATTATTTGACTTGATGAGGTATTCTTCTCGCAATATTTTTGCGTTGAATCATGAAAATGAGAAGAAAAAAATGGGAATATAAATCATTAGCAAAGGGTTGAGTGAACTGAACTCGAATTAATTTATTTTTAATTCTTTAAAGAATTAATTTTCATGGAAATAGAAAAAAATCATTTCAATTTGAATTTAATTTCTTCGTTTGCGGTTTCAGCCTCGATTCGTTTTCTCATTGCCAAGTTTTTCAAAAACATTTTCTGAATGTTATTCTGTATTACCTTGGCTTCGAACTCCCTGAACTGCCTCTCTCGTTCTTGCCTGTACTTTTCAATCTCCTCTTGAGCCTCTTCCTTCGCCTGCTTCAATCTGCGAGCTTTGCCTGAACAAAATTTAATCCCTCAATCAATCTAACGTTTTATATAAATGCAAACAATTATGTTCATTCAATTATCAATTTTTATTTTACTTTTTTCTCAATTCCTCTGTTTAATTTCCAAATTTGGGGAAAATTTTGATATAAAAATTCAATTATCATAACAAAAAATTGTTTTCATTCGTAAAACTCAATTCCTTAAATAATATAATTCACCATTTAAACATAAACAATTATTATCATTCAATTACGAATTTTTTTTTCACTTTTTTCTCAATTTTTCTCTCTAATTTCTAATTTTGGAGAAAATTTTTATCCGAAAATTCAATGTTATGGAATTTTTGTGATGGCTATCCCCTCGTGAGTTGATTTGGAGTATCACAAGACTAGCTATCAAGGTTAGACCCACCCAAACTCTCCAACGAACTCCTGAGCGCTCCAAAAACCTTCGACTCCCCCCCAAAAACCCCCCAAACACGTAAAAAACGTTGGAAAAAAATAAATTCGCGAATTGAACAATCACATCGGTTTTTAAATAAATAAGCCACATCCCCGAATACCCCGAGAGCCTCTGACGTACGCAAGAGTCATTCCCAGGCAGTCGGAACCCATAAATATCCAGGGAAAAAAATACGTAGCTCCAGAGACTCACGTTTTCTGGCTTCTGTGACCTTATCCGCTGCTTTTTTCTCAGCTGCCAGGAGCTGCTGGATACCCTGGGTCTGGCTAGCCATCTTTGCACTCGGAGAAGACGAGGAGACGAGTGATTTGGGCTGACGATAATCACGAATCGATCATATGACTCGTGAATTTCGCCTTTCTGATGCTTCGGTAGTGTGGCGCTAGTTTCTGGACTCGCTCACGTGGTTTTTTTTCATTCGAAATGAGACTTTTAGAAAATTCTAGTGAATTAATTTCGAAATTAGGAATTTAAAAAAATTCTTATTTCCTAAAAGAAAATAAGAATTTATCAAGAATTTTTTTTCTAATTTTTTTATTCTTAATTTAACTCCTTATTTAAATGCATAATTACCTAAATTACTGTCAATAATAATTCAGGTAATTACGGATTAGACATAAACTGGGGAAAATTTTAGGGGTGAATTAACGTTTTTTCCATGAGTTTTATTATTTATAAAAAAATTTTCTCTCAAAAATCTGAATTTTGTGATTATTTTTCTCACAATTTTTTTTTTGATTTTGACATTATTGAACCCTAGATAATTATTTGAATAAATAATTTATCATTTTTTAATGATTTAAAATCACTTGGAAACTATTGACAAAATTTTCTGATATTCTGGGCTTTAAACAAACAATATCATTAATTTTTTCATGATTATTTGTACCCATGTACGTAATTAAACATTAGGCATCGATTCAGGGAAAATGTTGAAGCCTATTACCATTTTCTCACATTTTTTATTCATAAAATTTGTATTTAATCAAAAACTCCAAATAGTTTTAAAATGATAAATTAATCCTAAATTATTCCTCTTATAAGATACGATTTCCTTGGACATTCTGTTGATTATTGAGCATGATCTTCTCCTGCCTCTTCTTCTCCTCCTTAAAAGCCTCAGTATTCGCTTTGCGTTCTAGTCTTCGTTCCTGTGGAGATGAAAACGAGTCATGTATGAGCATTTTCAAAATAATTTTGTGATGAGACAACATTTTTTGGAGAAGTTTTTGCCAATTTGGGGTGAAACACACCTTTCTGTATTCCTTTATCGCTCTTTTACGGTCTCTCCTGCCCTCTGGGGTCTCATCCTTGGGTCTGGTGCTCAGAATGCTCAGGGTGGACTTCATGGTCTCAGCAATGGACACTGGACCCACGGGTTTTCCATGGGCTAGGTCGTACTCTCGGTCCAACAGGGCTAGACTCTTCGCTGTCAGTTTCCCAGATTTTTGGTCCAGAACATCTTTGGGGATTCCTGTTTTACTGTGCAATTTTATTTTACCGAGGCCCTGAAATAATCATCATCGTTTCTGTGAAATAATTCTAGATTTATTATAATGATGAGAATTTAGCAAAATTGTTTCAAATAGAGGGAAAATGTTCAAAGTTTTGCAGAAAAAAAGCTTCACTAAACTGTTTAAATCATGAAAAATATTCTAAAAAAATAGCTGCACAAAATTCTCGACATTAAAATCATCTTAAAAATCCCTCTGACCAGTAATTACCTTTGGTTCAACAATCAACTTCGGGTGATTATAGATATTACTGTAAGTGCTCAGCACACTCTCGCAATCCCACTTCTCCTTCTCCCTGGGCTCCACCGCGAGTCTCTCCAGGCCCTCCTCCCCCTCAGAGCTGGACTCGTTGTACTCCAGGATCTTCAACCGATCCTTCATGAGCTTGGTGACGTTCTCGGTGGCCTCCCTCTGCTGTTTCTCAAACTCCTCAGCACACTGTATCACAATGGCTGAATCAGGAGCCACGTAGCCTTCGATTTCCTCGCAATCTAATGCCCCAATCTCCACCTATAACAATTTATTATGCGGCTCCATTTTATTTTTTGATGAGAGAAAAACAGAGACGATTTATTTGACACCTTCAATTAATTATTTCATTCAAAATTGTGCTGATGTTCAATGTTAGAATGTTGTCATTCTTTATTTTCTTTATTTTCATTTTTTTAATGCAGAAAAAATTTACATTTTCATTAAATTTTTGTGTTTTTTATGCAAAAAATATTGATTGGATAAATATTTAAGTGTCATATACTACAGTTGCTCTATACTTTTAGTTAATCACTTGTGTTGTTCATTAATTAACAGCAAAAAACATCAATTAACGCGAAAAAATCATCTTTGCTGATTTCTTTTCATCAGAATAAAAAAATCCTGCCATGAGTATTTCTCAAATTAAAAATATCAAAACGATTTCATTATTAAATTTCATATCTGTTCAATTTACTTCCCTAATTAGGCTTGTCCTGTTAGAAAAAATCAATTGTTGATAAAAAAAATGTCACAAAGAATGGAATAAACAACAGACCTTCAATTAATTATTTCATTCAAAATTGTGCTGATGTTCAATGTTAGAATGTTGTCATTCTTTATTTTCTTTATTTTCATTTTTTAAATGCAGAAAAAATTTACATTTTCATTAAATTTTTGTATTTTTTACGCAAAAAATATTGATTGGATAAATATTTAAGTGTCATATACTACAGTTGTTCTATACTTTTAGTTAATCACTTGTGTTGTTCATTAATTAACAGCAAAAAACATCAATTAACGCGAAAAAATCATCTTTGCTGATTTCTTTTCATCAGAATAAAAAAATCCTGCCATGAGTATTTCTCAAATTAAAAATATCAAAACGATTTCATTATTAATTTCATATCTATTCAATTTACTTCCCTAATTAGGCTTGTCCTGTTAGAAAAAATCAATTGTTGATAAAAAAAATGTCACAAAAAATGGAATAAACAACAGACCTCATCATAAGCAGCAAACATTCTCTCGAATTTGTCATCGAGCAGAGTGAGCTGTTCATTTCTCTTCATGACAGAGCTGGACATGGAGTACTCTGTGAACCTCGATTTAGTCTCCTCGTCCTTGAATGAGAACTGAGGGCCATTGAGACTCCCAACTTCGTCCCTCTCCTCATCGGAGACTGCCATGTGCCCTGACGACACATCAGACTCATCAGCAGAGTCATACTCGTCCTCCTCAGCCTCGTCGAACTCCCCCTCGTCCTCACCCCCATTAGCCAGGGCGAAGAAGTCATCCTCGAGCTGATTCTCGGGGTCATCGTAATCGAAATCGTCGTCCATGGCTGCCACAATGTCGGGATCGAGGTCGATTCTCGGTCCAGATATGGGGGCTGCCTTGTTGAGAAGTCCAACTTTCTCCTCGACATCGGAGGCGAAGACCGAGGAGGGGAGATTGATCTTTTTATCGGCATTCTTCTTGTCGTTGGGATTCTCCACCATGGACCACTCCACTGGGAGTTTGCTGACGTCCTTCAGGTGCTGGAGGTAGTCGTAATCGTCGTCGAAGAAGATGCCATACTTCTGCTGCTCCTCTTTTCGTTTTTGAGGGTCTCCGGATTTCTTGTCGGGCTTTGAGGACTGAGGGGCGTCCACTGGGACGAGAACTCGCTGGGGGGCTGTCTCGTCGGCTGCTAGGGGGTCTTGCTGGGAACGGTGCACCAGGTGGAATGTCACCGAGTTCTTCTTGTCGATGAATTTTTTGGTCTTTCCTTTGGGCTGGGGAATTGAAGATTATTGAGGAATGGAGATTGAGGAGTCGGGGGATTTTTTGTTCTGTCGTAAATTTAAATTTTGGAATTAAAAGGAGATTGGTAGAGGGAAGTTCAATTTTGTTTTCACATGTCGCATCATTTGGTCAGAAGATGTATTTAAAAAATTTCGAAGTGTTTGAAAATCTGGGGATTATTAAGATGAAATAGTATTTTTTTGATTGAATTCTTATTGTCGATGAATTTTTTGGTTTTTCCTTAGACTGGGGAACTGAAGATTATTGAGGAATGCAGATTGAGAAGTCTGGGGGAATTTTTATTCTATCATAAATTTAAACTCCAGAATTAAAACAAGATTAGTAGATTTAGTTGAATGTTTTTTTTCTTATTTTGAGGGTATTTATTCAGAGTTTAAAATGAAACTTGATTCATCAAAATTACATCATTTAGTTGAAATATATTGATGGTTTAAGAAGGTGCATTTTACCGCTCTAGATATATTTTTTTTAATGTAAAAAATTTCTAAAGGAGCTGAGATGGAAAAAACGTCCGAATCCAGTGATTATCAAAATAAAAAAGTCTATTTGTTAATCATTTTAGCACTGAGGGAGTGAATTTCAGTAAACATGGGGTTTCTAACCAATTGGAGTACTAAACCTAATTGTTCTGGCTTTTACTCACCATCTTTGAAGTTTTTCACATGAATTTCAGCGAATTGTCTTCAGGAAATTAATCGATTCGAGTTTATAGAGACAATTGGCGAATTTTCTTCTGAATTATTTAGTTTTTTCTCTTCTTGGGTAGTCAACACGTGTGATCGTACAGCTCTACATCAACCATCTTTGTTTTTGTGGAGGAGTTGAGGGTCACGTGGAGCCCATAATTTTTTAAATGTCCAAAAATGAAAAAGTTTTTATTCACGGTCAAATTTTCAGTGTAAACACAGACCATTTTATCTTTTAAAGGCAAGAGTGCTTTATTAATTCATAATTATGCAGTGTATTTAGTGCACGTGGGCACATTACCAGATGCTTTCCCTCTTTGCCTTCCACCGGTATTGAAGAACTCATTCCTCATTGACGGAAAGATATTTTTAAAAAGTTTCAACGAAACCCGGCGCAGAGACAATTCACAATTTTTCTTCTAAAAAACCTCATTTCCGATATTTTACTGTAAAGTATTCGTCTTAATTTTGTGATAAAATATTGAGAATTAAATTCATTACAACATTACTCTTAAAACGTTAAACTTCTAAATTTAATTCTCAATTTTAAACCGTTCGGAAGCAATGACAAAACATTAAGAAGTAATTCAGTAGCGAAGTGGTAAAACGGTTTAAGTCGACTCATCTCCCAGTTGAGTTTTTGAGGAATATTTCCGAATCTAAGGGAGATAGCGAAATTTTAGTGATTACATTTTTTGTGGCACTCAATCAGCTCTACAAAAAAGGTTATAACAAAAATTTTGCTATCTCCCTTAGGTTTCGAGATATTCATTGAAAACTGGTCAATAGTCAAAATCGACTTGTCCCGTTTTACCACTTCGCTACTGAATTAAAAAGGGGAAATTTTGGGAAAAGTTTCGTAAAGGAATCGAAAAACTATATTTAAAAGAATGCAGATTATTTTTCCCAAATAAATCATAAACACTTGATGATTGATAAAAAATTAGTTTATTTAAATTCACTCATTGCCATGATTAGCCATGTCACTTCATCTTCATCACAGATATATCGCAGTTTTCAATATGACATAAAAATACCCATATTTTGTACACAATAATAATGATGCCTTACTAACTACATTGGTGCTCCTCGCAATCCTATTAACATAAAAAGAGAGAACATATCGAACGATGGAAATTCCTTAAGACAATGTCGGTAGCATAAACTCATTTGAAGTATAAAAAACAGTTACGACGAGTCACAATTAATCATCTATCACTGTGCGGACGATATCCCTGCACTTGTTTTACGTAATTAAAGCCACGTACCAAAGTGAATGCCTCGTGTGATTAAAACAGCAGGCAATTTATTCAATAGTTAAATGATAACTGTTTTTGGAGGATATTTCGGAATCTAAGAGGTAATTTTTCATTTTATTTTTCCCCTTTCTCGTGAATTATTTCAGTTTTCCATCAATTATTTACGAAAATTCATAAAAAACTGGGAATCAATCTTCGAAAATCTGTGAAAAATAAATAAAATCTCTAAAAATACAAAAATTTTCATAAAAAAAGTGATTTTCAATGAAAAAAAAAAGAGAATTATCTGATTTTTCATTCCTCTTGTTTACCAATTCACAACTGTTGATAATTCTTAATAATAATTAATGTAATAATCGTAGAATAACGTATTAAAGCACTTAATGGCCCATAAAAAATGTATCAATAACTCAAAACGAGTCAATAACGTCATAAATGTCCTCTCAACATGAAGAATGTTCAAAAATCCAAACTATTTCATAGATCTCCGCTTAAATGTTAGTGTTTCAAATCACAAGTATTACCAGGGCCTCCACATGGGGTCGTTATCGTCGACCCCTTCCACGTCTATTTCCTCCTCGTCCTCCGTGGGCATCGGTGTTTGTGGCTCACTCCTCTCCCGTGGATTGCACAATTTCTTGGGCGCGGGCTCGAAGGGGATTCCTGGGGCATTAACGAGGGGTGGCGCGGGGGAGAGGCGATGGGGGGAGGCCATCGAGGGGGATGGCATCTCCAGGGACGGAGGACCCGCTGGGGTGAGGGTCAGGTGGGGAGAGGCTATTGGGTTTGGAGACATCAATTCATCTTTTGGTATAATCTGTAAATTAATTGAGGCGACGGGGGAATTAATTTCTTGAAATTTGACGAAATAATTAATCGAGAGTATTGATGATTATGTATTAACAATTTTGATGTCTCTTTCATTGTTATTCATCAATTGTTTATGTTTATAAACTAATGCGAAATGACAGATGATTTAAGTGATTAATTTCAGGGGAGGATTGATTAAAGATTTGGTAATTTTCGATCAATCAATTTATTAAATGAATTGATGAATTCAGAGGGGAAACATGTCAAATTTCTCAATTTACGTTAAATTTACAGTTTCTATTGTTTTTTTTTCATAAAACTTTAAATTAGGAATGAAGAAATTCCTCGTAATTTTCGGTGGACATAGTGCGATAACAATTTCCAATAATTGCAGCTAAAATTTCAGTCAAAAATTTTTAACAGTGCAATAAATTTCACATTGTTAATAATTCTTAATAACAATTAATAATTACAACGTAACAAGATGGGGTTATTGATAAATTATGATTAATTGCATACAATTCATTCATTCATTTATTTGCTCATCTTCCTTCAATCATAATTTACGAATAATTAATTTTCATCGTCAACGGCTCGAAAATCACTTTAATTGTCAAAATACTTTTCCCACAAAACGTGAAACAGTTGATGATTTAATTGCGTCAATTTGCCCGAATGGCCACCTAATTAAGACATTCTTACCTGAATATTTAATTTGCGCATCGACTCGAGTCCCGACGCCAAGTGTCTCGCCAATTTTTCACCCGATTCACCGGGCAATGCTGCGAGGTATCTGCAGGCCTCGGCGGCACAGTGACCAAATCCCGATTGCCATCGGCTCTCGGCAGTGGGGTCCTCGTTCTGAGATACCACTGGTGATAGCCCCGACGACTGGGATGAGTGGAGTCTCTGTATATGACGTACTGTCAGCTCCAGAATATCGGCTTTTTCGAGTTTACTGATGTTTTCGGCCTCGGTCTGTCCATCAAAATCATTGATAATTATTCATGAGCATCAATTAACGAATAATTAATGAGCAATTTTACGGAGGGAATGAAAAATCAACGAAACTGGAGGAGAGGTGACCGATCGATTGAATGATCAGTCGACTGTCTCAGCAATTGTTTCATTAATCAACTGAATGATTAATTAGTACGCACCTCTAGCGCATCAATCATGAGATTCTTAAGTTGCTCGACGGATTTGTTCATTCGAGCTCGTCTCTTTCTCTCCAACGCTGGTTTTGTTATCTAATAAAAAATATTAAAAAAGCATTAAAAAATGAATTAATGGCGGGAAATCATCACCAGAAGATTTAATTAAGGAATTACGAATTAAAAATAGTCGTCAATTGGACAAATCAATGCGTAAAAATTGAAATATTTCACGTTAAAAAATCAGTAATTAACGGCGACACAAATTAATTAAAGCAATTAGAGTTGAGGAATCATTGCAAAGAATGAATCGATGAATTTTCAGTGCTAAAATGTTGGTAATATTAGGAATTTTTTTATTATACTCACCTTTTTGTACTGATAAGTCCTGGAAACTGGATGTGGATAATCGTACGACATCATTGCACGTCTCTCCCCTCAGCAATTAATCCAGAATAATTCCTAATTATCACTTATTCGCGTATTATTTATAAACATAAGTCGATGAATGTCGAATGAGAAGCTATCAATTGAGACTGGAGGGGCTTTGAATGAACGAGTGACGAGCACTTATGGAGATCGAGGGTGAATTAGAACGACGAGTGCTCACTCCATGGAGTCTCTACACCAACTGACTGGATGCTCCGTCAGCCATTCCATCGGAACCCTCCCCTCCGGCCCCGTCCCAAAACTCGGCGTGCTATTCCATTTCAAAATTATCTCTTTTACAATAAAACATCAGACACACGTTCAACTGACAATTACAAACAAATGGAAATGAAAATCGAACATGTCTGTTCATGAATAAAATTAGGAATTTTTTTTCATGAAGGTGAGAAATAAAATCGTTTTGATCTCTCGATTAATTAATTAATTCAGCGATTAATGAATGAATTTATTCGTAAATATATTGATCAATCTTTGTGGTAACAATCCTTCGTTCATTTCGGAACAATTTACATGAAAATGAGAATAAAAATTAAAAATGTGTGTTCATGAACAAAATTCGGAATTATTTTCCTGAAGATAAGAAATCAAATCGATTAATTAATTCATTGATAAATGAATTATTTCAATTAATAATTTATTATTCAACTAATCAATCAATTTTTCTCTCAAACAAATTTTCCATTCACATTTCAACAATTTACATCAGAACGACTTCTGAATTTCTCTTCAACTCACAAGAATTTTAATCTTTCGCTGGCAAAACCTTTTTCAATTCTTGAAACCAATATAATCCACTTCATGCAATTGGCTAAATTAATCAACCAATTAATCATTCAATTCTGCTTGCAAAACCCCTTTTTCCACTGCCTCATCATTTGACACACGAAAAAAAATATTTTCTCCGTTTAAAAATTAATTAACAGTCCGTAATTTATCAAAAGCCCCGGATAATTTTCTCAAAATTGACACATTTCCCACAAGTTTCGAGTTAGCCGTCAGCAATATGTACCTGCGGTCTATCACTCCTTACCACGCGCTCGAGTACCAGGAAGAAAAATAATAATTAGTGATGTCACCGCTCGAGCCGCCTCTCCCGACGAGACCACATATCACTCAACCGCTCTCAACCTTATCAATTGACATGTGAGTCTGGGGGGGGGG